CAGGGAGCCACAGGGATCCCTTTCTCTCTGCTCTCCCAGCATCAGGGTGTCCATGCCTGCACATCGAACCCTTTGCTCCCCTCTTCATCTCACCAGCCCGGCAGCGTTCTCTTTAGTTTGAAAAAGGGCAGAAGGCCTGTAGATATTCATTCTCCGGTATCTGATGGTTTATAGCAAGCGGATGACAGGAGCCTATCACGCAAGGGCAACAACTGACAGTATTTGTTGCCAAAGATGAAATCCAACCTCGCAGTGAAGAGCAGGTTTTGGAAGCTCACACCCACCGTGAGAAGACTGATGTCTTCCCAACCCATAGCTTGCTCCTGTTGACAGCTTCCCACCCCATCACACGCTCCCAAGGAGATCAGCGGAGACGTTAACATATGTGATTTTTCTGATAGGAGAGAAAATGTGTCAACATTGAGAAGATTGGCATAGCTCAATAACTGATATTTTCCAGATGACTAATGCTGCAGAATTTTTCATAAGTAGATATAGTCCATTAAAAGTGTGAGATACACAAGCAGATTTTAATGTAACGGAAGCGTTCACACCCATGTTGCCTCTGACCTTTGAGAAGCTGCCATTTGTCAAGTACGGGCGAGGACTCTCCACAATTATCTCAGAAGGCAATTAGAATGTGATCTCGCTTGCGCCGGCTCCACGTTGGTAATGGTGGGTTGCTGGACTTTCCCATTTTGCAGCAGAGTGCCTGCTGAAGCCGATGCGGGATCCAGGTGTCTTCTATTGTGTGAAACACGCGGCAGTGGCTGTCCTCTCTGCTTCTCTGCTTTGCTTTTTACAAAGTCATTGTCAGAAACTCATATTGGTTCTGGAACTTGTAGTGCATTTATTATCGTTACTTAATAATGCAAACAGGAAAGATTCCGCACCTTTTCATTCTCGCCTATTAAATGGTAACCACCTTCAGCCATGAGCTGCAGCCACTTTTTGCTGTTGTTGGTTTTGTTATAGTGTAAAGCCCCAGCTTGGGCTTGGGGCTCACCGTGCAGACCAGGCTGGCCTCAAACTCACAGAGCCTGCCTCGTATGGATTAGGGTTCACCACACCTGGCCCTCACCTCTTAGACTTGGTCAGGTCCTGAGGTGCATGTTCGGGAACCACACCAGCCTCAGCCTGTTCATCTTTACTGTTCTTTATCACAGTTATCCATGCATGCCCCCGCCACTAACCAAACAGACCTTTTCTTCTCTGTTGCCAATTTTGCAGTGTAGCTGTGTGCTGTTACCATCTGCATTTGTAGTTAGTGTACTGTCGTCTGCTCCCTGACATGAAGAGAGGCTGTCAGTGCAGTATGTCCTATTCAGGGTGTCTGGTTCTGCCTTGAGGACAGCATTCTTTTGTTTAATAATTGATGCCAACATTTATAGTCATAGGTAGATAGACATAGAATGCCTTTTCTGATGCATTAGTGGATAATAACTTAATCATTTGTGTGGTCAGTGATCCCTGCTCAGGAGCTTGAACTTTGTATAGGGCATTGATCTGTGACCACAGTTGGCTGTTCCTGTATTCTTGAGCCCAGCTTATCTGTGACGTAACTCACTTGCTTCTCCACTGTGACTGGTTCAGGGCTCATATTAAAGAAGGAAATCATTCAGAATCTAAAGGAAGTCATTGGTTTTAAGAGTCTATGCCTCAACCTTTGTGTTTGTGTAAGCTGCATAAAAATGCCTCTCATGTAGTTATAGAACCAAGGAAAAAAATAAACCAGTACACCTCCAAGTGGGCACCATTGTAGTGAGAGAGAAACAGCTCCTGCCAGATCTGAATTTCTGTGAGTCTGAATGCAGGGCCACACTGGGATCTCTGTGTTCATACAGTGCGATCCTGTCCGCGTGTAACGATGTGTAATGATGTATGTAGTTAGTGTGTCTGTTCACGGAGTACAGTGCGATCCTGCCCCACGTGTAACGATGTGTAGTGATGTATGTAGTTAGTGTGTCTGTTCACGGAGTACAGTGTGATCCTGCCCTGCATGTAACGATGTGTAGTGATGTATGTAGTTAGTGTGTCTGTTCACGGAGTACAGTGCGATCCTGCCCCGCGTGTACGATGTGTAGTGATGTATGTAGTTACCGTGTATGTTCATGGAGTACAGTGTAATCATGCTCCGCGTGTATGATGTGTAGTGATGTATGTGCACACACACAGTGTACCTAGCATCTCTCTCCTCTCACACATTCTTCACTTATTTGTCTTGGGAATGTGTGGGATCCTTTGCTTTCACTAATTTGAAATGCACAACAAATCATTCTTGGCTGTAGTGACCACACTGCCCTACCCAGTTCTGGAGTGTGCTCCATCATGTGATTCTTTGTACCCAACCCCCTTGCTCTACTAGTCCACAGCGCGCATTTCTACAAGAGCAGTTTAGCCGGCTTCTACCTGTAAGCCGGACAGGGTGCTTTTCTCCCATATCCAGTGACCTTCAATCACCATAACATTGGAGACTCCTGTTTGAGGTCAGCCAAGGCTGCTTCTGTGTTGTGATCACCCAGCTCTTGTGGCCACTCAGAGCCTTTGAAACCTAAGCTTCTCTCCTTATTGTATGGTTTCCTGAGACTCCCTAGTGAATTTACTGCTAACTTCCTCATTTAGTGCTATAATTTTCCGACTGGCCTGGTTATTGTTACTCAAATTCACCTTGTTGAAAGGGGCAGTGCACACACACACACACACACATCTATGAGGATGCCAGCTGGTGTCACATGGGATGCTCATTAGAGGGTAGCACAAAAATGATGCCCAGACTGAATTTATGGTGACTCCTTGGTATCCGTCTCCCTAAAATACAAACATGGCTCTAACGGCCGAATGGGAGGGCTGCTATCTGTGCGTCCCAGCATCACCCTGTGCTTCTTCATCTGCTTAGCAGAAAGCTTCCACCTCCGACCCTCTCTTTCCAGAGACAGCTTTATTTACAGATGCAGCTGTGTAGCCCGAACAGATGTGCACGGTGTTGGACGCATCCTCAGTCGCCTCCGAGTACCTTAATGTGCCAGCGTCGCTTCAAGGGAAAGAGATTAAAAAGCACATTCCCCGTGGGAGTTCGAGTTCTCCACTTCTCTCTCCCTGTGTCTCCCATCATTCCCTGTCTGTCTGGTCTGATCCCGGATCTGTGTCTGCCTGAATGCGCTCTTGTGCCACCGTCCCTGTGTCTGCGCCTCCCTAACAAAGGACTTGGCTCCTTTTGTTGAACAGCACAGAAAGCATCACATGAGGCGCAGAATGAAGGACACTTTGCAGAATTTTTAGTAGGGATTTACAAGGGATTAAGTCACCGACTCCAGCAGACCCGGATAACCAAACAAATGCTATCTGCATGCTGTCTTCAATGTTTGTGGTGGATATTCATTTTATAATGTTGCTTCCAGCATATTTGCTGTTTCCAGCATCTATTACCATAACATGCATACATGTGCACGTTACTCATGGGTCTGGGGAATGGAAGAGTGTATAATTTAAGATTACAGCTATGCATTAGTTTAGGGTATAAAGGTTGATTCCATGGGAAAGCCAAGTTCTGGAAGGTGGGTTGTTCTTTTACAATCAGGTTAGGCAAACAAGGTGAGTACACAGTAGGGCAACAGTCTCAAGTCTTAAGTGACCTCACCACGTATTATTAACTTTGACTGTGAGGTCCAGTTAAAGTTCCAATCCCTTAGAATATAAGGGAGATTTTCATCATACTGCTGTTCCACAAAGGTGTGCTTTCCCTTTGTTTCAGATTAGGAGGCTAACATGGTGCTCACGTCCAGGCAGATATGGTGGTTCCGGGTAGCAGTGTAGCGGGAACAGGAGTAGAATGTGTCCCTCACAGTGTTGACACTGGTGAGCAGTTTCTGCTGTGAGATGAAACATACGTCCTCACAGGCATGCCCAGAGATGCCTCCTAGAAGAATCTACATCTTTTCAGGTTGACAATGAGAATTATCTACCACCATCATCTTAGGGACAAGAAGCAACCGTGTGCTTTGAATTTCCTTATGATACTTTATTGAGGAATAGCAACATTGTATTCAGCGTAATTCTTTTGTTTTTGTTTGTGTTTTTGAGACATGGTTTCTCTGTGTATCTGTGGAGTCTGTCCTGGAACTGACTCTGTAGACCAGACTGGTCTGGAATGCACAGAGTTCCTCCTGCCTCTGCCTTCTGAATGCTGGGATTAAAGGTGTGTGCCACTACTGCCTGGCTCAGCATAACTCTTTACTATCCAAGCTTTGTTTAAGTTGTACATTTCTAATTCTATAGAGCCGATTAAAAGTTAGATGAGATAATTTTGTTTTCTTGTTTTGTTAAATGTCTGAAGTGATTTAGAATCATTTATCTGGACATGATGGTAAATAAGAACAGTGTGGGTTGTTATTCTCAGTTTGGTATTTTTTTTTATGTGCCTGATACTTTTATTTAGACCCCATTGCACCCTTATGAAGCAGGATATTACTTCATCATCATTCCTGTAGTAGGTGGCTAGAGGTGGAGGACAGATAATTAGGCTTCTTGCTTAAGCCATGTTAGCTACGAGTGGTGAAGCCCAAATGCCAGCCCAGGCAGCTTTGTCCAGAGCTAGACCTCTCCTCCGTCTCCTTCACTAGCAGGGCATTTGAAGGTCTGATAGGGTTTGAAGGTCTGATATCAGGGTGTGTTAGCTCGCGGACCCGTTGTGTCTGCGTAAAAGTGCTAGTTGGGCTAGCAAGATGGCTCAGCTTGCCTCCAAGCCCAGAGATCTAAATTCCCTCTTAGGACCCCACAGAGTAGCAGAAAGAGGCTCACCTTGTGCAAGTTGTTCCAACTTGCCACGGTACGTACACACCCACCTATGTACACAGACACATAGTAAATGTATGTGATTAAACCTTAGATTACAAAATAAAAAACAAGACGTTAATCTTTGGTCGCTAGTCTTTGGATGAAGTGCGTCTTTCCTAGTGTGGTGTTCATTTCTGCTAAGCCCAATCCTCTTCTTGTGTGTGTAGATATGCCGCTTCATGTCCGCCGGAGCAGCGACCCAGCTTTAAGTGGCCTCTCCACTTCCGTCAGTGACAATAACTTTTCCTCTGAGGAGCCGTCCAGGAAAAACCCCACCCGATGGTCCACGACAGCTGGCTTTCTCAAGCAGAACACCACTGGAAGTCCCAAAACGTGTGACAGGAAGGTAACCACCCCCACTTGTCTCTGCAGCCTTTGCAGCTTCTGTCCTTTGGTGTCAGTCAGGTGAGCTCAGGCGTTCCTTGGGCATATCCTGTGGCCCGTGTGAGGATTAGGGATTTTTCTCAGTAATATGTGCGGAGACCAATGGGCAGTTGGAATTTTCCGATGAAACCCAGTGCTATAGATGGAGTATGGAGGTCCATATTTTGAGCTGATAATATATCTGTGATTCAAAAGGCAGCACCCCCTTTTCCTTCCCCTTTCTCTTGCCTATGCCCTTTTCCCCCCTTTTTTTTTCACCTCAGTCCCAGGGATGGAAATCAAGGCCTTAAACCTGTCAGGGGAGTTCTGTAACACTGAATGATAAACCAGTCTCAGAAGAAAAACGTGAACAGGAAGTGTTGCCCTATAAAGTCCCTTTCTCTTTTTGTTTCTGGTTTCTGTCTTCTCTCTTTATAGGGAGTTTCTTCTTTGTGCTTTCTAGATGACCTTCTGGAAATGTTTTATCCATGAGTGAGCACATAACCTGTATTGGCGTAGGAAGTGTATCAAAGAACTCAGAACATTATAGAGCTAGAAGTACAAAAGCACAGCTCATGGTATTTTTATTGTTTCTTTCATCGTTTTTACCCTGTCTCCCTGGGGAAGGGAAGTGTGCTGTCTGTTCTTAGTGCAACTTGCATTTTTGACCCACGTTACTTAGCCCAGTACTTACACGTTAGTACATGAACGTTCATCGCTGTGACCTTCAGCACCTGTGCCTAGAGAACCCCACCATCCTGTTCTGCCATGTCTCTAATCTCTTACCTAATGGACTTTTAGGCCATGTTTTCCTTTTTCATGGTCGTATCTGAAGAATAAGACTTGGTGACTATGTCTTACTGGAGCCAGTGATTTCCCACAGCCTGTGGTGGGAAATGTGGAGGTGTTACCACACAGTGCCAGTCACATTCGTATCAAAACGGGCACAGCTTGAGGATTGATTGACTCATCCTTTGCATTGGAGCTTTTTTTTATTTTGTTTTACATGCCAACACTCTTGCCTTCGTTAGTATTAGTTCTAGTGAAATAAAAACCATGGGGCACATACACCTAAAACGAGAAGAATCAGGCCAGAGCTATCGCTCCGAAGCAGAGTCCGTCCCCAGCCCAGTGATAATATAATGATAGAACCGGAAAGAGCCTTAAAGGGCAAACGTGGAAGGCAATGTGGTTTCGGGTTGTTGTAGCCTATTGATTTAGCTGTTAGCCTTACTCTCAAAGATTCTGCAAGGAGCCACATTCGATTGCTTTTTCTCCCCGAAGCCAGTTTGAGCCCTGCAAGGACTTGAAGTAAGCTGTCTGAAGAAGCAAAATTCACTTTTTGAATAGGTCTCATGGCTTTTAGTTTTTGCCAGAATTAATCTATATAAATATTTACAAACTTATAAACAAGTAAAGTTTATAGTTAAAAACTATGTATTTTTTTCCAAGTGGGCTTTCACTGAGTCACATCTGGCAGGCTCGTGGTCTGAGTACAGCCAGATCTCTGTCTGTGACTCATTTAGCATCTTGGGTATGGGACTTAGGTGTAGTTACAGCACACAGATCTGTTTTGATCATATTTCAAACACAAAAGGGTTTAATACTTAGAATCCCTGTCTTGAAAATGATTGGAGAAGTCCGCACAACGTGCCCGGCCTGGTGCGCATCTGACCCGCCTCGAAGGAGGCGCATCCCAGTGGTCTGCATGCTAGACACCGGTTTGTCCTCCCAGGTGCTTGCCTTGCCTGCAGAATGGAGGCCGAGCCTCCAAATGCTGAATGGCAATGGCCCAAGGAGCTTCCCTTCCTTTAATTACTGCCATTGAGATCTGGAGTTTCCCACCAGTGGATTCATGCAGGCAGGCTCATTTGTATGCGGCGCAGACTCTGATGTGCCGAGGCTCTAGGGAGTGATCATCATCCTTCCCACTTCTGCTGCAGAGGAAGGCGTGCGAGGGGCATATTGAGACGCTCAGAGTAATTAACCACATGCACTTCTGCCTTTGTAGTAAATAATATGTATCTGTCATTGCGGAACACCTGGGAAACCAGAAGACTGGAATAATGGAAGATCACCCGTGTCTCTAAAGCCCAGCACCCCCAACATTGAGATGTCAGTGGTGAATAGCTCCACCACCTTGCAGGCTTTCGTCAGATCTCCCGAGCTAAGCATTTTGGACTTGATTAGTGTTTGGATGGGGATACTAGTGAAACACACACACACACACACACACACACACACACACACACACACACACGCTCATGCCCGCCTGCACACATACACCCCACCGTCTTAGCTTTACATACTTGCTACTCAGCATTCCTACATTTTTCTTCTACAGAGATCTTCTCTTTGAATTTTGTTAGAGAACATCTTAGACAATGTACAGTCTGCTCTGATGACCATGATATGGTCTCTGTTGGCCATTTCCAGTTTGTCTCTTCTCACATTGTAAATATCCATGTTGGTGCACAACTTTGAATATAT